TATATATATATATATATATATATATATGCACACATTATGGTAGCATTTGGTATTATAATATTGGTAGTATTGTATTAACTTTAATTTATTCTTGCTTAAACCAAAATAATATATTGCAGTATTGAGAATTTTATGAGAATATTAGTAATTATATAAAATAAAAAAATAAAAAAATTAACATCCAGATGTAGCACTGTAATCTGAATTTGGTGAAAAATATTCCTAATTGTTATGAAAATAATATACATAGTTTAATTATCAAACATGCTTCATTTTCTTTATATAAAATATGAGGTCCATGAGTAGAAATCATTCTTTAATGTTCTGTAGTCAAATGAAATGCATGGTTAAAAGATGAGCTCGCCATGTAAGTCATCAGAATTTTAACATGCAGCCTGCTGTTACACATTACCATGCGATCGATGAGACTGACCAGGATGTGATGCTTTAACAAGCTTCCACTTATCTCTAATGACATGCTAATTGTGATTAGAAACCAGCTAATGAGAAAATAATTACTTTCCAGTTGCACGTGTCAGTTTTCTCTGCCCCAGGTGCTTGCCAAACCTTTCCCGTCATTTAAGATCACAAGAAAATCTTTTGCTCTCCTCATTCTCTTATTCCCATCTTAAACACCTGCTGTTTCTTTAAATTAATAATGCAGAACGGACACTTAAAAGTGTACGTATATGTCAAGACAGCAGCATGCTGAGCTATAGTGTGCTTTTACACACTTCTGTGACCATGTCAGAACCTCAGGCACTCATACAACCCTAAATGACTGAACAGTAAACCATCTCATTTGTCTCGGGTTATGTGTCCAAAGAAATCAAATAATATTTTGTCTAGCTGTTTTCTTATTCACCTCAGCACCAACACATATCCTGCTCTTCCTAATGCAAAATTTCACATATACCCTGATGCCCTGCGGCACGGAGCTGGGATGTCCCAATTAAAGAGCCCCCCCCAGATGGAGTTGCTAAATGTGAGAAGGTAGGGGGTGTAAGGTGGCATGCCAACCTCCATCCAACCATGCCCTCCTTTCAGCTTGGCGCAGTGACCTACTTCATTCCGTCAATGCTGTAGCGCCGTACGCTGCAGGGATAGGATGGGCTGTCTGGTCTGACAATAAATCGACTGCATTAGTTTTGTTGACAAGGATGTCATTTTGATTTCTTCTGAGAGTTATCCACATAACCATCATCAATCCTATAAAGCCTACTGTGTCATTTGAAGCATTAACTTCTAAAGCCTATAAATTATCAAAACTTTGCTGAAAAGCCTGTTATACACAATCTTGATAATCAAACAAACAACACATGCAAACTTATATATACAGTATCTAAAGGTTATCTAGGGATATACAGTGGGTACGGAAAGTATTCAGACCCCCTTAAATTTTTCACTCTGTTATATTGCAGCCATTTGCTAAAATCATTTAAGTTAATTTTTTTTCCTCATTAATGTACACACAGCACCCCATATTGACAGAAAAACACAGAATTGTTGACATTTTTGCAGATTTATTAAAAAAGAAAAACTGAAATATCACATGGTCCTAAGTATTCAGACCCTTTGCTCAGTATTTAGTAGAAGCACCCTTTTGATCCAATACAGTCATGAGTCTTATTGGGAAAGATGCAACAAGTTTTTCACACCTGGATTTGGGGATCCTCTGCCATTCCTCCTTGCAGATCCTCTCCAGTTCTGTCAGGTGGGATGGTAAATGTTGGTTGACAGCCATTTTTAGGTCTCTCCAGAGATGCTCAATTGGGTTTAAGTCAGGGCTCTGGCTGGGCCAGTCAAGAACAGTCACAGAGTTGTTGTAAAGCCACTCCTTCGTTATTTTAGCTGTGTGCTTAGGGTCATTGTCTTGTTGGAAGATAAACCTTCGGCCCAGTCTGAGGTCCCGAGCACTCTGGAGAAGGTTTTCGTCCAGAATATCCCTGTACTTGGCCGCATTCATCTTTCCCTCAATTGCAACCAGTCGTCCTGTCCCTGCAGCTGAAAAACACCCCCACAGCAGGGTGCTGCCACCACCATGCTTCACTGTTGGGACTGGATTGGACAGGTGATGAGCAGTGCCTGGTTTTCTCCACACATACCGCTTAGAATTAAGGCCAAAAAGTTCTATCTTGGTCTCATCAGACCAGAGAATCTTATTTCTCACCATCTTGGAGTCCTCCATGCGGGCTTTCATGTGTCTTGCACTGAGGAGAGGCTTCCGTCAGGCCACTCTGCCATAAAGCCCCGACTGGTGGAGGGCTGCAGTGATGGTTGACTTTCTACAACTTTCCCCCATCTCCCGACTGCATCTCTGGAGCTCAGCCACAGTGATCTTTGGGTTCTTCTTTACCTCTCTCACCAAGGCTCTTCGCCCCCGATAGCTCAGTTTGGCCGGACGGCCAGCTCTAGGAAGGGTTCTGGTCATCCCAAACGTCTTCCATTTAAGGAATGGAGGCCACTGTGCTCTTGGGAACCTTAAGTGCAGCAGAAATTTTTTTTGTAACCTTGGCCAGATCTGTGCCTTGCCACAATTCTGTCTCTGAGCTCTTCAGGCAGTTCCTTTGACCTCATGATTCTCATTTGCTCTGACATGCACTGTGAGCTGTAAGGTCTTATATAGACAGGTGTGTGGCTTTCCTAATCAAGTCCAATCAGTATAATCAAACACAGCTGGACTCAAATGAAGGTGTAGAACCATCTCAAGGATGATCAGAAGAAATGGACAGCACCTGAGTTAAATATATGAGTGTCACAGCAAAGGGTCTGAATACTTAGGACCATGTGATATTTCAGTTTTTCTTTTTTAATAAATCTGCAAAAATGTCAACAATTCTGTGTTTTTCTGTCAATATGGGGTGCTGTGTGTACATTAATGAGGAAAAAAATTAACTTAAATGATTTTAGCAAATGGCTGCAATATAACAAAGAGTGAAAAATTTAAGGGGGTCTAAATACTTTCCGTACCCACTGTATGTCTATGTATGTCTAAAGATTCAATAAACTGTTAAATTTCTAAAACATAAGATTTTTCTATTATTTCATATTTTAATAATTAAAGTTGACCTCTGCTCTTGCAAATCCTAAAGAGTTAATTATTCTCCCTGACCTTTGTCCTCTATCCCGTCTCCGCTGACATTTTGACAAGCACCCCCTCCTTTGTCACTGAATTTGTCACTGAACCCTAAATTGAACATGACTCTTCATTAAAGCATGCTTATCCATCTGTCACAAGCTACAAATCATTTGTGGTGTATACATAGTAAATATTACTTCTATAGGGTATGTATGGGTTCCAGACAGTCTCAGTCCTGTCAGATAAAGATTGCTGATTACCTAAAGGAGCTGGTAGTCATTTATGTAAAGCTTTAGCTAATCCTGTAAGTGTTCTTTGCCTTCTAGACTACCAGACTGTATTTGTCTACTTCAGTCCTGTCACACCAGCAATTACCTGGAGATTTGCCTCCCTTTGAAACACCTTACACAATTTAATTTTATTAATGGTTCTTGTTAAGGCAAGCATCACTATTACTATTGTTCATACTTAGAGTTGTGAGTTGTTTAAAAGCTCATAACTTTGAGTATTAAACTTTGCTATGTAACTTTGAGAGGTGTGCTATTATTTTTTTAAGGGATTAGATTTAGAATTTCTGCCTGGCAGACGATAAAACAGATCAAAATAATCCCATAGATTTAAATTTAACCACATTTAGAGACCTGAAAGAGACTTGGTGGCTAGTAAGTAACCTACAGTATAGCAACATGGCAATGCCTTAGCAACTATACAGCTAAAAACCAATATGTGACCCTGGACCACAAAACCAGTCTTTAAGTTGCACGGGTATATTGGTAGCAATAACCAAAAATGCATTGCATGGGTCAAAATTATCGATTTTTCTTTTATGCTAAAAAATCATTAGGATATTAAGTAAAGATCATGTTCCATGAAGATATTTTGTAAACTTCTTACCATAAATATATCAAAACTTTTGATTAATATATTTGATTAGTAATATCCTTTGCTAAGGATTTAATTTATAATTAATTTAAAATTTAATTCAGTTCATTTAAAATTAAAGGCGATTTTCTCAATATTTAGATTTTTTTGCACCCTCAGATTCCAGATTTTCAAATATTGTCCTATCCTAACAAACCATACATTAATGGAAAGATTATTTATTCGGCTTTCGGATGATGTATAAATCTCAATTTCGAAAAATTGACCCTTATGACTGGTTTTGTGGTCCAGGGTCACATATTAACATTTTAACAACTGCATAGCAATGGTCTGGCAATCACCCACAACAAGCTAGGATCGTAAAGGAGAGATTGAAAAGATTTAAAAGAAGACCGCAGCAATTACGCCAGTCTTCAGTGTCACATGATCATTTAGAAATCATTCTAATATGCTGATTTGGTGCTCAAGAAACATTTCTTATGATGTCGAAAATAGTTGTGCTGCTTAATTTTTTTATGGAAACTTATTTTTTTCTTTCAGTCAGTATTATTTGATAGAAGGTTCAAAAGAACAACATTTATTTGAAATAGAATCTTTTGTAATAATAAATTACTGTCACTTTTGATCAATTTAATGTGTCTTTGCTGAACAAATGCAAATAGAATAAAGGAAGTCTTACTGACCCCAAACTTTTGAATGGTAGTGTAGATAAACTTTTCATTCTTTTGCAGATGACAAATCCTGCCATTCAGAATGACTTCAGTTATTACAGGAGGACCCTGAGCCGCATGAGGATCAATAACGTTCCTGTGAGTTTTCTCAAGAATTGAAACTGCCACCTCTCTATTGCTATGACTTTCTCAACCCCCCCCTCCCCTCTCTTTTTCTCTTTCTATTCACCTTTCTGTGCACTACACTTCTGTCCTTACTTAACATCTTTTATCCACACCTGTTTTTTACTTTTAAAGTAAAAAATACCTTTGACAAGCAGCTATCGATTTGATCTAAACTCCTTTCACATAATTAACACACTTCCTTTTCTTTCTTACTCACATACTCAAGCACTCAGCCACTTGCACATACCAGCACTCAGGGGACTGTTGAGGACCCAAACAGAAAATGGCCTCCCACTGGGAGATTGAGTGAGTTCTGAGATGCTCACTGAAGTGCATTGAGGTGCACCAATATAGTGTGGCACCTGATCTGTGGTCAGCTTTTGTGCCTGTCCTCCCCAGAGATGTCCTGCCCTCCTAGGACTAAATATCTGATCTGAGAACGGGCCACACACATAGCCCTGGGGGACACCATGAAGTCTGCATACTTTGTTTAGTGAAGTGGCGCTGGTTTTCCCCTCATATTCTCCCAGACTGAATTCAGTAGCCCCACCATGGTTCCCCAGGGCCCTACAACTGTAAGAGAGCTAAATAAATCACTCCAGCTAGCACTCTCCACATCTGCACTAATAGTTTAGACTATTGTTTAATGTATGAATGTATTTTTAGACTTGACACACCAGAATGTGCAGGTGTATGCAGTTTACTGTAAGATTAAACCGCTTTCTTATTATTCTGGCTGTCCTAATTTTGATGATGCTTTTGCTGGTTTGAAAAGCATTTTCAAGTAACCCTTTTTATTCAGTAGAATACAGTAAGTAAATTAAGACCGATTTAATTTCACAGAAATGATTTTTAATTACTCATCACATATTTTGCAAAAGAACTAAAGCTTAATTTCCTTTTTATGTCTGGGGATGTCGTTACTTTTCCCATCTTTGTCCAATTTGCTGTTTCTCCCATTTATCCTGTTAACCAAAATGACTGTATTCTGGGATATTTCATTATTACTCAAATGATGCTAGCTTTGCGACCTCAAAAATTGGCTAACCATACACTCCCTTCTCATTTAAGCAGAAGGGTTAGGTGACATCCATCCATTTTTGAAGGATTACTTTTTTTAATATTTAGTACATTAATGATGTATAACATTATAGACTGATTTTCCACCTGAGAAATTGGGGCACAGGGAAAAACACTTTCAATGCTTATCCATCTTCACATTGTTTTCTTTATGGTCTTCTATTAATCATTTTCATGAGGCATTGACTGTGATAAGTTCTGAGAAACTGTTCAGAAAGAAAAATCTATGTTCTCCTTGCTTTACTCTATTAATAAAGTGTTTGGTGTCTGTCCATGTAGGCAGAGGGAGAAAACGAGGTGAATAATGAACTGGCCAACCGGATATCTCTATTTTATGCTGATGCCACACCCATGCTAAAGACATTAAGTGATGGCACAACAAAATTTGTATCTGAGGTAAACAAAAATATTTCAAATCAGTTGTCAGTGACATTTTCAAAAAATAACTTTAAAATAAATAAAGAAATATTTTTTTGCTTTTGCCCAACAGAATAAAAACTTGCCCATTGAAAACACAACAGATGTATTAAGCACCATGGCGAGCGTGTGCAAAGTTATGTTGGAAACTCCGTAAGTCTGCCATTTTCTCATCTGTCTGATGATACCATAAAATGTGTGGTGTATTAAAAAAATAAGTATCATTTACAAAAAAATTAGCAGGTAAATATAAAACAAAAAAATGAAAAAAAGATTTGCTTATTCTCTAATTTTTTTGGATACAGAGAGTATCGCAGCCGCTTCAGCAGTGAGGAGACCGTTTCCTTCTGTCTGCGGGTCATGGTGGGGGTCATTATCCTCTACGACTACGTCCATCCCGTCGGCGCATTCGCGAAGTCCTCCAAAATAGACGTGAGTGAAACCATCATCTCCTGTTACTGCAAACCCATCTCTGAAGTTTTTTCCCCTCCCGCTAGGCACTGACACTGACTCATAATCATAGTGCTTAGAAAACGTGGCGATGGCTCTCTCACAGCATCATGACTCATGAGGTTGAGTGCTGTCATTACTCTGCCACTCTAACCATGGTCGCTTTTTTCCCCAAACAGATGAAAGGCTGCATTAAAGTGCTCAGAGATCAGCCACCAAACAGTGTAGAAGGTCTTCTAAATGCTCTCAGGTAAAAAAAAAAATAATAATTACAATTTTTCATGAATATTATCATATAAAATGTATTAATATTATCATATTAATATCATATTAATCAGCTGCACTTTTCCACGAAGACACATTTAGATTTTTTCCTCATATTTTTTGTGGTTTCATGTGAGGAATATTCCATGGCATATGCACTTTAATGCATCAGGGGCCCATGATGGCCCTATGAACAAGATTTTTTTCTGTTTTCCGTTTTTTTCTGTTTTCTTTTTTTTTTTTAGCACTGCTTGCTTTTTTTTTTGCATCAGTGCTAAAGATAGCTTGACACAACACTGCAAGATTCTGCAGTAAATATAATTATTACTTAATGTCTTCTGTGCAGGTACACAACAAAACATCTTAATGATGAGTCAACCACTAAGACCATTAAAAGCATGCTGCAGTAGCAACAAAACTCTGGGACACACCACTGGCCTCAAGCAGATGCTCAGGAGATGCACATACCTGTACACTCTCTCTCCTGGACTAAAGCGATGCACAGAATGTTTTTCCTTTTTTTTTTTTATTAAACCGGAAAAAAATCAGACAAAAGCTTCTAGAATCTTTCCTTGTCTTTTTACAAAGCAGATGCTACTGGCGTTATGTGTGGTTTTCTGTGCCAAAATGGTTTTGCTGAAATCCCTTGTTTTTAATGTTCCTGAAAGACAGCCATGATACTGATGGCAGCTATGAAAGCATTGTTAGATTATATTTGTGGTAAATGTTTCCCTATAAAGGGAGGGTGAGTGTTTTGACTTGAATATAAAATATCTATATATTATCTATATGATCTAGATACAATTATATAAAAAAGAGAGAAGTATATTATTATTTTTTTTGAATGAATATTTAATGTTACATCCACTGCATGGCAAATTGATTACATGTCTTCTATTTAAAAGAAAACTATTGTTTCAAATTCATTTGAATGCTTAATTTTGTGTAAAGGAAAAGGTGTTTAAATTATGTTTTTAAATGGTACTTAGAGATTAAAAATGGAGGTTAATTATTTTTTTTTTTCAAGTTTTATATTTTTTTATAGTTCTTGATTTATGCATTTTTTTCCCTGTAGGTGTTATACTTTTCAGTTTTTTGTTCTTTTTTGATCTAGCTTTCAAAAACTGTGATAGTTTGTAATCTGTGTCAGATGTGATGACAACATGATCTTAAGAGGAAATAAAATGCTTTCATTTTTATAATGATGTTTACGTTTTTAAATGCAGTCTTACTAAGGTGTATGCAAATGAGCTGCACATTTCTGGTATTATGCAAATCAGATGTGGTGTTATGCGTGATGTTTGAAATTTGAAATTCTGGTTAACAGAATTGCAGATTGCACAAGACTGAATCAACCCATCACAATTTTATTTTTATATCTTGAAATATTCATAAATAAAATAAGGAAGGTTTATGTAAGATTATGCCACAATAACTGATTTCAGTGGAAAAAGATTTATAGGATTATGCAAACGGTTGTTCAGAAAACATTGAAAAATAGAGAATGTTTCTAGACTTTGTGATAGATCAAAATAATTTCTGCATCACTTCACCCAGTCAGATTGAAACTGATTTGACAATTTATTGTGTGATGTATGTTTGTCTAAAAAGTCTGTTAATGTGTTGTCCATTGAAGATCTGCTCTCTTCTCTCTTATCTGTTCTAATTGGCAGGAATCGCCTGCCAGTTACAACACGCTTGCAATCAAGGATTCACAGGCTGTGAGAAGGGTGTGGCCATAGTAATTCTGCAGTTAGGGCATGTATGAAGGTCAGGAAGGATGGCGAAAGGCACTGCAGGGCTCTCTGCATTCTGTCAGTGAAACTCGGGGTTGTGGAGTGCGAGTGAGAGCGTTTTAGGGTGTGTCCTGTATCCATGCAGCACTGCTGGATTGAGGGACCAAGAGTGCAGATGTTGAAAAAGATTTCAGGAAAGCAGGTCATGTAATGGGTGGGTCTGCAGCTAAAATGCTTTATACAACAAATGATGAGCATATACATTTGGTTGGTGTGTGAATTTTGTGTGGCAATGAAATGCATCATTATATATATACATATATACCCGCGCTGGCAAAACGAGTCGAAATGCACACAGGCTAATTTTGAGCTACAGACAAAAAAAGTGAAAAATTTATATTTTGGTCGAATTTCACACATAAAGGCACTTCTGTCAGCGTGTGATCCCGATAAATATTCACATACATAGAATTACAGTATTTTAAGTAGGCTATTCAAGCATACATAATCTGTTATGTCTTAAGTGAATGTTTGGGGAACTGTTGGGGAAAAACATCTGATGTGTAACATATTAGATCCGTGCAGTACAGAAGGTCTTAATATATATAGGCTAGTTATTGTCTGTCTCATTAATGTTAATCTAACAATAAAAGAAAAGATCGCTGCTCTTGATTGAACTGCTTTTGAAGATTTAATAATCAGTTTATTTGTAATGAACACACTGAAGGGATTTTTACAATTTATTTTTAGTTTTTTCTTACTTGAATGCTTTTTTTAAATGAGAAAAGTAATGCACTATTTTTTTCTTATATTCTATTGTTTGTTTGTTTTCATCTGTTCTTATTTTTAATAAGAACGATAAAATGAAAATGGCTGTATTGTGATTATTAATATAGTAATTATAATTAATATTAAGAAAGGAAGTAGAGGAAATTTTGCTTTGGAACCTTCAGAAAACTTCAACTTGAAGTTACTTTGCTGTTAATTTTTGTTTTTGGTCAGTGAATGGGTTACTATTAACAGACTTTAAAAAAAAAAAAAAATCTAATCCTGTAATATAATACACTAATATAATATAAACCATAGTAGCACTGCTTATCTCTACCCCTTTTTTAAATTTATTGATACTTTTTTAAATAAAAATAAAAATGGTCATGGATTGGTGTGACCTAATGTTGTAAGGGAATATGAAACTGTTACTATATGGTTTCTGAGAATTCTCAAGCCAAGAAGAAGGACATGCTATCTCATGACACAAGAAATTGGTAAACCACAAAACTGTTACTTGCCAACTCACAACTTTTAGTATTTATTAAAAGACTTTGCGAAGAGGAAGGTCTTGTTCTTCCACAAGTCACGTTCACATGGGTTCAGACAGGACAATAAAAAGTGTTCCCATTCATACATTTCTTATCTGTCTGTCTGTTGTTCAGTTTATTTGTATTTCAGTTCAGACATATATCTTTTGTTCCGAAAATGAGTTCAAATTTCGATTAAATTCAAATTCATTAAAATTGAATTAGGAAACAAAAACAGTTTTGACAATTATTAGCGTCACATTTAGTAATGTACTGTTAGCTTAGTAACATACTGTTAGTAACATACTGAAATCCATTTCAGTAGTCGAGTCTCCATGAGGAGTGAGACTCACTATTTATTTATATATCTTGCCTATGTAGAACAATTCAAATCAGTCACTTCATTTCATGTAGGATGTCGCCTTAAGTGACGTTCATACTGACAGCGATGAGCAGCAACAGACCACTAAGTCACTCATCTTCAATGTGAGTTGCGTATTTGTGTCGTCAAAGACTATAGGTGAGTTGTAAAGTCGAGGCAAGTAGAAATGTCTACTTGAGTTAATAGCTCTCAGTGTAAATGCACCTTTAGAAGGCATGTGCCTATGTAGGGCAAAAAGCAGTGGACCAGAGCTCCAGTTGGTGTGTCATGTTGATCTGATGTTCATATTCAGGCACATGACTTTAGTTTACCAGTGACGTGACTGAGACTTGGCGAGGTCTCTGTTGTTTGAGTAGACACTGGACACCGTAGAGAATGTGGTTTGATGTGGGGCCCCTCACAAAGTGCCGGCGCTGTCAGCATACAGCCAGAGGTGCAATTTACACTTCAACAACTGCAAGACGCTCTCCTTTAACACCCACTCACTTATTGGACTCCTCTTACTGGCCACAACTGTGACTGTCTAACTAAGCCATAGTCTGTTTTTCAGTATTGTGAATATCTAGCCATCTAAAGAGTCTTAGCATCTTAGAATAGTCTTAGGATAGTCCAAGTCCTGGCAGCACCGACTGTGATAAAACCAACTTGGCTAGCAGCCCTTCCGATGCTTTTTGCCTCCACATGAAAAGCACTCCAGATAACGTTAGAAAATTGCTGTGTCATTAAAATTGTAATATTTAAAATTACATATCACACTGTTGCAAAGGCTAATAATGGTTAAATTGAAGGTGAAATTAAATGTTTTTCTTTGTGTTTCCAATCAGCTTGTGGTTAACAAGCTAACAGCTTAGTCCACTAAGCTTAGAATAGCATTAACTGGAAAGCTCTTTTGATGAGCTAGAACAAGATATCACGCTGTGTTTTTGATCAGACTGGTGGATGGGACTTGTCAAAAAAAATCATGAGCTGTGTTTCAAAAGGGCAGTGGGTAATGGGGTCAAAGCTGAAATTGTTGTAGCTTGATGCCTTGCTCCAAAGAATTAAATGCACTGGGGAACATTTCGTCAGAGTACATTTTTAGGCTTTAACATCTCTACACATCACTGCTTATTTTGGTTCTTTTGAATCCCACCAGAAAGACAATGAACTAATAGCAAACAACAGATGACATCTTTTCACAGAAATACAAACAGTTTTTGGTGAAGAGCCCTCATAACCAATAAAGAGGTTAAACGGCCACTGGTTTCACTGAAATTCATTTTGGGGGAATTCTGCTAAATAGCAGAGAGAGAAACCACAATACATTGCAACCCCACCTCTCCAGGGTGTACTCTTCTAAGAATGACAACGGCTATCTGCTGATACCCCCTCAACGCTCTGACACTTACAGACCCACTTCCTTCAATTCGTTGTCTTAATCAGTGAAGCTTTCCTGCTACAGTTAATCAATTATGTCAAAACTTTAACGGCTTTGCTCTGTACCAAGGAATGCTATTATTGTGGTTTGCTTTGAGGAAAGGGTGGAATAATGTTATAAAATGGTATAAAGACCATTTGCTACTGAGATCAGAAGGTTCATTTTGCTTTTAGTACCACATAATCTGGAATGTTAGATCTGATGTTCCTCTGACAGCATAGATCATGGTTGTTGAGTGATTATTGTTTTTTGTGTCAAAATGATAGTTGATGCCAGATTCCAAAAGCAAACAACAAATGGTGCTATTATACACCCACGATGTGCCATAATACTATCGAAACAACATGATACTAACCTTTATCTCCATATGGAAATCTCAGATGGTCAGACAGTGATTATTATCTTTTATGAATCGTTAGCCCAGAGACTGTATTGTACATCCTGAGTTTTTAAAAGTTTAGTTTAAGTGTGATATGAATAAATAGTGCTCATAAACGGCTGTTGAGATATGAGTATCTCATGGTCTTATTATTGGGAGATACCAGATACCAGGTCCGCAGCCATTGGAGAAAGAGTAATGCCAACTAAGATCACGTGTGCCTTGATAACCAATCACATTATGGCCTTGCCTGATTTTCTGTCAGAGTTGGATGAAAGACAATCACTGTTTGCAGATACCATGGAAAAGAATGAGAAATGCCATAAACTGAATCCTACTTCTCACAAAATTGTCTGTGACTTCTCTTAAAAAACAGCATTTTTTTTGCTGTAAACTAAAAATACAAAATTAATGTTTAATGGCCATTTTGAAGATTAGTCGATAGGCTGTTGATTCATTAAATCGTTAGCTGTTTCCCACAAAACTAGTTTATTCATCGTAGTGAAGTCTCTCCTCTCTTTTTTTTTTTGTTGCTAACTTTGGAATCTTACCTGAAAGTGGCTTTGCTTGGACCCAGAAACAGTATCCTTAGCAGGAGTCTATGGCAAGGCTACCTATTGGCTCAACCAATAACATCTCTGCGGAAACCTGTTTGAAACCACACTTCATCTTTTAATTTAATACAGATAAAGCTGTGAGCAACAGACATAGGCCTACAGTCTGTTCTGATGTAGCATAATCCATTGAGTGGGATTTTTT